GTATTTTGTAGTTTTTAAATAGTGTTGACTAAATTTACCCTAGATCCACTTATAGATGCTGTCTGACTGTCACGCAGTAACAACAACTCTTTATATGGTGTCCCAAACAGTTGTTCTCCTGCGCCTGCCTCCCTCCTGCTTTGCTCTTTGCTTTGTGATTTCTATCAGAGTCTCTCTCACGACATATCCTCCGAATGATAAATTATGGATCTGGTCAGCTGGTCTCTCAACACAACTGATAAATTTTTCTCGACGAGAAGACAGGGCGACGGAGAGCCCTCATGCCCTGAAGGGACACTCGCAGCTGGATACACGATGGATTCCTGGGGCCAGTGGAAGATGGTGTGTTTGTCTGTATTGTCCGTTGAAGATGTTAAAGACGTGTACATAATTGGATTTATGATAACAGGATTTCTGCTTTTTGGAGTCGGTGGTTACCTGGTTTATTGACAAATGCGGAAAAGGTCGGCAGTCGTTCTGGTCTTGGTAAAGCTGCCCGTCTTGTATCAAGGAATGTACTGAGCGGTAAGCTCTCAGACTCAGATGCTGAATGAGCTGAACCGTAAGCTGGATGCAATTTCTGAGAGTCGTAGGCCACTTGCGGCTCTTGGGACTCACTGGTGAGAAGGAATTGACCTTGAAAAAGGCTACAAGCTCGGTCTGGCAGCATGACCACAAAATTTGGCTGTTTGGAGTTGCCACTGAGACATATCAGCAGAACTATGAAGACAGATATGGAAATCAAGCAGAGTGCCTGACCCAAAACAAATGTGTTATCTGAATTTGGCTTCCCCACTCAGCCTTGATTTGGCCAGCTATCTCAAACTTCTCTTGGGTGTTTATGTGAACGAGAAGCTCTGTCTCCCCTCCACAATCGCTCCTCTCCCAAGGACTTCTGTGGATCTGTGCCAGAGTTGAGCCGGCTGATAGACACTGTGCCATCTTATCAGGACTATGGAACTTTGTGGCAGTCCATGGACAACTCACTGTCCTCGTCGGCCACCTTGGCCTCCTCATGCATAATTGTATTATGACGTCATTATGTCTGCTGTTTATGTGCAAGGTCTTTTTTTCTCAACTCTCACACTGTGCCCCGGGACATAATGCGAGATACAATTTTTTAAAATCTCCCCTCCCCATCGTGTTTTCTCTTTTCCTTACTTTTTTCTGTTTGTCTGTCTAAAACAGGTCTCGCTTGTAAATGAGTCTCCGAGGCTCAGTGTGATTGATCTGTACAAATAAAGGTTGAATGAATTCAAGACCAGGTTGTCAGGACCAGAGTTTAAACATTGAACTATGGACCTTCATCTCACCTATCTCTACATGACATCGCTCCAGCAAGTTCTAAGGATGATCCCTCAAAAGGGATCATCCTTCACCCCTGAGGTATCCAGCTGTGGAGTCTGACATTTCTACCTTAAAGAGTTATCAGTTTAGAGCTTGAACTAGAAATTGTCCACAGACACAGACGGAAGAACGAGCATGCAAAAGCATACTGTACATCTTTGGATGGGTGTATAAAAACCTCAGCTGTGCTATGTCTACTAAATCAGAATGGAAGTTGTAAAGATTTAGCACCTTAGGAGCATACACAGTACATAAATGTGCCTCGCGGCACCATGAAGTAAAAAGTGGAAATTGGAAATAACCTCCATCCGTTCATCTGTCCATGCATGTTCTGAGCTTGATAATGTAGTGAGTCACGTGAGGTACGTGTCACTTGTTGTATGACAAATATATGGATATATATTTATGCATACTTTTCACGAGTTCTTCATCTTTCTGACTGTGTAATGCCGTGCATTGAATTTAAAGGAATGCGAACAAGAGACGTTATTACCTTTGACCCATCAAATGAATGGAATCATTTATTTTCAGAATCAAAGTTTAACATCAAACATTTACATTAATTTGGCAAAATATGAAAATAATAACAGACAGTTTCACAAATAATGAACTTCAAATCACTCGGCGGTGATTTGAGGACTTTGCTTCAGATATTTCTAAAAATATCTGCACTGATTTATGAGAGAGAGGTGAGTTTAAGAGTAAATTGAGATTTATCTTACAGAGGAAATATGTGAGGGAAATTTAATCTGTTTAACCAGAAATTGCACGCTCCGTCAGATCCTCAGCCCGTCCACGGTACACTTTAGTCGAAGAAGAAGTCTTTACCTGGTTTGACGATAGATCAGCTCAGTAAGCATCCTTCAGACTGTTTCCAGCGCCTCCGTTAAGCACAGCTAAAATCCTCGGAGAGTCGTGCGTGGTTAGTTCAAAACAGAATTATAATCCCAACACGTCTCTGGATCCTCGGCACTCCAAACTCTTCATAACTCTAGTTCTCTTCTGAACCGGCTGCACTCTCAATCTTGGAACTCCATATCACTCTCAATCTCAATCTAACATGAACTGGGAAGTTGCCACATTTTATTTGGGTCGACTTCCTGTT